CCCATGCTTCCTGCTGCTCACCCCGGACGCTAGCGTCACTGGGCCTGAGTTCCCATGCTGAGCCCTTTCACTTCTCTGATGAGCTGGATCCTTATGCCTGATGGTCCTAACGTCATCCTGACCTGCAGTGCCTGCTCCGTAAACAGGAGCCCTTTATTGATGTTGATGCCATTTATGATAAATGGTGGCTCTTTCATTGCTGTCCGGGTCTTGGCGAAAGGCCGAGGGCAGCAGCTGGGAAGGGGTGAGTGCTGGATGATGGAAAAGTCTGCTTGGAGCAGGGTGCAGTCTGAGCCTCAGGGGTGGGGGGTTGGCCGCGGAGGGCAGGAGGTGTGTGTGTGTGTGGGGGGATCATTACAAGAATTATTCAAGATTCCTCCAGGGATTTTTCCCTCTCTGACCAAACTTTTCCAAACAACAGTCTCAGGGCCCCCAAAGCTGCCTGGGAAGGGCAGGGGGACTGCAGGGTTTGCAGTCCACCAGCTCATCCCTGACACTGTGGGTCTTGGGCTCAGTTCTGGTTCCTGTTTCTATTGAACACATGTTTATGAAGGGTAACGTACAGCGTATAATCTCAGACCAACCTCTGGTGTGCAAGAAACGTCATTTCTCCTTTGCCCCCATGTGTCCTAGTGGTCTGGTCAGATGTCTTTCCCCTTTCCCTGGGGATTACAGCAGGCTGAGGTGTTGGGGACTGGGGTGGCAACAGTCTGGTCCCTGCAGATGGCTGCCGAGTCAACCCTTCCCTCCTTAGTCTCTGATCTCACTCCTCTGCTCCTCCGCCCTCTCCCATGTCCACGGATGGTTCCATTGTCTCCTCACTGAATCCACTAAGACATGTCTTTGGTCGAGGCTCTCCAAACACCAGTGTATACAAGATAGGGTTCTTTTTTCTCATTTAACAAGAAGTCCAGAGGTAGGCAGCCCAGGGAGGTACAGTGCCCTATGGGGTCATCATCCAGGCACCTGCAGTCTTCTTGCTTGACTATCCCAGCCTGGAGCTTTTGCCCTTATGCATTCCAGCATCCCACCTTCTGCGTGGCCACAGGATGGCTGCCGTGGCTCTGGCTGTTCCTGCTAGCGAGAAGCAGGAAGCGGGGAGGGCCAAAAGGGCCAGTGAAGGCTGGGTGGGCTCCATTTGGGGAGCTTTCCTGCAAGTGCCATCTAGTGACTTCTGCTTTACATTCCTTGACCACAGCTGTGTCACATGGCCACCCCTAGCTGCAAGGGAGGCTAGAAACACAGTCTTCTAACTGGCTATGCTGCTGCCCGAAGGAAAATCAAGGTTCTGTAAGGAAGGAAGTGAGAATGGACACTGGGCAGCGACCAGGGTTTCCCACCACCTTTGCTCTGTGGGATCCAGATGGCTCTGCCCCAGGTGCTGCTTGCCCACACCCACTGTGTGTTCATCTTCTCTGGGGCCCTGTTCTCCTTCCACCTGCTCAACCAGAGGAAGATGCTCAGAGCCCCTCTGTTCTTGCATTTTATGAACCCACTTGATAGCTGCGCTGTGTGCCCCTCACCACCACCACGGGAGCTCAGCCTGCGGGAAATGGCAAATAGGACCCCTCCCCGCCTTTCTCACTTCCCTTCTGACCAGAGATTCTTGGGGTAGGAGCCCTGCTCTGGCTCGTCTGACATTTATTCTTCCAAATCTATTTCTTAAGCCCCTAGTGCTTTCAAAAGACCAGGCTTTTGAAACTCACAAGCCAAGAACTGGCTCCTTTTGCTTCCTGCTTCTTCCTGGATTTTTCTTAGGAAATGCTGATTCGAAGAAATACAAGAACAGGGGAAAATGTGGTTAATATGTCCAAGTAATACTCTGCCACAAATACACTGAGCTGAAGGCTTTTCCTAGTTATGTGAGCGGCCCTACAGGAGGAGAGCGGGTGTGGTCTCTGCTCATAAAGAAGGCAGAGACAGAGTCCGGGCTGTGTGAAGATGGGGATAAGCAGAGGGAACCCCAGCAGCGTTGAGGAGGGGTCAGAGGGCTCCCTGTGGAGCTGAGCTCTGGGCTGAGCTGAGTGCTGGCGTGGGAAGAAGAGAGGGTGAGGAAGGGCGACCTAGGGAACAGCCTGAGCAAAGACCCAGAGGTCTGGAGGGGCATGGTCTGTGCCACAGAGAACATCATGCTGTTGGACAGCCTGGGAGGGGTGACAGCAGACAGGTGGGGAGGACCCGACCCATCACTGGAGGCTGGGAGTGGCTGCCTGTGTCCAGGACTCCATCCTTGAAGACATTTGCTGTTTCTTGCCTCTGTCTTAAGTGGAGCCTGTCCCTAACTACAACGTCTTTCTAGTGGGGCCTGACTTCTCACTGAGCTATCTGCCTTCAAGTGGCCAGATCAGAAGCAGATGCTTCCTTTTTTTTTGCTCAACTGAGCAAAATTTTTTTGCTCAAAAATTTTTTTTTGCTCATCTTCCCGAGGGCGCTAAGACAAAGAGCTAAGATGAGCAACATGAAAACCAGCATTGTTATTATTATTACTACTATATGTGCAGCTAGTTGGCAGTTAGTAATTGCTGAAAAGTACAAGTTGCTTCTTTCTTGCTTTGAAACAGTATTTGCAACATACGGTCAGACTTGATAATTTTCCTTTCCTTATCACTCAAGGTGAATCATAAATAAAACATATTGAGAAATCCTCTAAGTTGGGGATTGGCAAACTTTTTCTGTAAGGGGCCAGAGAGTAGTCCTAAAGGAGCCATAGATACTACATAGAAATGAATGAGTATGGCCGGGTTCCAATAAAACTTTATTTACAAAAACATGCAGTGGGGGCGCCTGGGTGGCTCAGTTGGTTAAGCGACTGACTGCCTTCAGCTCAGGTCATGATCCTGGAGTCCGGGATCGAGTCCCACATCGGGCTCCCTGCTCAGCAGGGAGTCTGCTTCTCCCTCTGACCCTCCTCCCTCTCATGCTCTCTGTCTCTCATTCTCTCTCTCTCAAATAAATAAATAGGGGCGCCTGGGTGGCTCAGATGGTTAAGCGTCTGCCTTCGGCTCAGGTCATGATCCCAGGGTCCTGGGATCGAGTCCCACATCGGGCTCCCTGCTCCTTGGGAGCCTGCTTCTCCCTCTGCCTCTCTCTCTGTCTCTCTCTGTCTCTCATGAATAAATAAATAAAATCTTTAAAATAAATAAATAAATAAAATCTTTAAAAAAAAAAACATGCAGTGGACTAGAATTGCCCCATGGGCCATAGTCTGCCCACCCTTGCTCTAAACCCACTCAATATATTAGTTTCTGTGGCAGAGACTAGCTTTTTTTGGCAGGGGCCAAGGACTAGGTGGGAAAGTGCTGGGTTCATCATACAGCAATGTCAGGAAGGCCAGTTACCGCACCTGCTCCTGCCTGGTAGGTGATTAATCCCTAATGATAGGTAAATCAGTAACAGTGGAGGGGTGGATTGACTGCTCACCCTATGATGATAAAACCCATCGTAAACACAGTTAAAGAAGAAGGAAGGAGAAGTCAGGTGATCAGTATCTACACTGGAAGTAAACGTGGACTCTAATTCCAGAAGGTGTTACGGCAAACTCCCATGTGCCGGGCCACGCGGTGGGAACTAGAGGTGAGGGGGAGGAAGGAAATGCAGCCTCCATGCTTCAAGGCGCTCCTGGGGCCTCTGGAGCCGCAGGGGGAGCCAACCATCTGCTGGAGACTCAGTGACCACCCAGGAGGGAGACAATGAGGCAGGCAGGGTGACACGCCTTGATCCCACGGCTGGGAGAGGGGTCTACAGACCAAGGTTCTATCATCAAGTAGATGAGGAAAACACCGAATTAAATAAGGCAAAGAACAGGCACTTGCCTGGAAGACTTCTCAGAGCCTTGAAGACGCTGACCTGCAACATGAATCTCCGAGAGGCTAGAGATGCGGTATTTCCTAAAATTAATGCACTGCCAAGCCCTTTCTTTGAGGAGCATTTTCTTGAAAACCTACTTTAGATTCGCAGAGCCGAACATTTCCCTGTGTTATTAGAGACTCTTTGTGAACATCCTTTTTAGTGGCTGTATAATATGTATAAGCCATCATTTATTTCTTTGCTTATCTTTTCTCCCATTGCTGGGCATGGCTCAGCAAGGTTGCATGGCTCCCAGCACCCACAGGCCGCCAGGACTGGCAGCCAGAAGCCTCTTCCTCCCATCGTATTTGCCTGGAGGGGCAAAGTGGGTGGCGGAAGTCAGGAGCTGGGCAGGTGGGTGGCTGGGGGTCGATCAGCCCACATTCTTGTCTCCGTTTCCTCCCATGTCTCCAAAGTTTCTCTGCTTGTTTTCCCCGGATGGAGAATTTTCTTCTATGGATGTCTTAATTTGCTTTGAATTCTAGGTTCCTCAAGGACATTTTAACAGGGATACCCTTGTGCACAGTGGCTGTCAGAGGCTGACGTTTCTGGGTGAGAGGAGACCTGGTTTTCCTGGGGACCCCCCCCCACAGGAACACAGTGAGCAGGAGGAGCGTGCATGGCCCAAGGACCAGCATCCCAGAGGCCTCTCAGGCACCACGAATGTGGTCAGCAACCCTCCTCCACAAGAACTTTGTGCTCCCCAGCCCCGGTAACCTTCATTCTTTAACATTTTTTTAAACATAAAAACGATACAAGTTATACACCCCAAAGTGAAATCGGCAGGCACTCCCGGAGAGGGGAGAGAGGCAGCCTCCCAGTTTTTAATCCATAGCCTTTGTATCCTCAGACTCTCACAACAAGCACTTATTTCCATATTACTCGCACAATTTATAATTTAATTTTTTTAAAAAATAGGAATGTAGGAGGGAGGAAACAGTCTTCCCCATAATCCATTAGCTGAGGCAATCAATGTGAATACCTGAGCATTTTTCTTCCAGGCTTCCAGAAAGGAATTTGTTTTCGATACACAGTAAGTTACCTGATGGTAAAAGGGCTCAGCTAAGGGCCCTTGGCGCGGGAGCTGGCCCCTGCAGGATTAAGTAGCAGCCCCCTTCCATTTCCTGCAAAATGGCCTCCTCACCCAGCCTCACCTGACTGAAAGGATCCACAAAATAGCACCATGCGGGTGGGATGCGGTGGCTGTTTTCCGAGGGGCTGGAAGCCCAGAGAAGCTCTCTCTCTCCTTGGACTGACTGGGCTGATCTCCAGAAAACCTCCCTCCCTTGGCCTGGGCATCGCCTCCAGGGACCTCTCCAGGCTTTACTTCTTCCGACCTTTGCTTCAGATTCAATTCTTGCTCTTGGCCCCCGACCTAGAACTGGATGCTTCTGTCTGGCTCTCGTCTCAAATCTTCTCTCAGCCCCCGCCCCAGTTTCCCTTTGCTGGAGCCCTGCCCTCCCATTGCCCCAGCTGCAGGCAGATACCTCCAGTACCTCCTTCCCCTACTGAGGTCAGAGGCCCTTTTCTATTTGCCAAGCTTTCTGAGGGCCTGTGGCCATAGCAAGATGTCCACATAAGGGACAACTTGGATGCTGGAAAGTCCATGTCATGGGATTCAACCTGGATTGGCCCTTGTGGTTTCTTTATGCCCCTCAAACCACCTCATAGCTCTCTCCAAACCCATCCATCTGTGGGGACTTTGGGAAGCTGAGGGAAGTCCCAGGCCAGGCTCCCTCTAGGGTCTCAGGACATCCCCCGGAGACGGAGACACGCGGTTCCAGGGCGGGCCAGCTCACCCTCCCAGAGGAACCACGCGCGATGAACTCATGTTTTGATCACGACCCGTGGGAGCTGCTCTTCTGTTGGTTAAACAGGCAGGAGGTAAACAGGCGCCGAGGAGACCAACTTGGGCTCCCTGTGCAGAGGGTTTCATTATAATGACGACAGCCTCAAAGGTGGGCGGGGGGAGAGGGAAAAACCCCTTACCACCCCCCCCCCCCAGCTGGGTGTGTATGGGCTGCCTTGTGCTCCCTCTGGGTGACTTCTTGGGAGTGTGCAGTTGTTTCTTCCTTCCTTAATTTCATTCTGATTACAAAATTAATACAACTTCATTGTGACAGACTTGGAAAATGCAGAAAGTGTAATGAACAAGACAGAAATGTCCTGAAATTGCATACTCTAGTCACTCTTTCTCACATTCAGCAGGCTTATTGTCAGTACTGCACTTACCATCCTCTGAATTCATCTTACTGATTTATTTGTTTTGCTTGTTTACTGTCGATTTCTCCCCCACCACAATCTTAAATCTTTTTTTTAATTTCAATTTTAATTTTTTAAAAAGATTTCATTTATTTATTTTAGAGAGAGAAGGAGAGAGAGCACAGAGGGAGACGGAGAGGGAGAGGCAGACTCCCCAATGAGCAGGGAGCCCGATGTGGGGCTCGATCCCAGGACCCTGGGATCATGACCTGAGCTGAAGGCAGATGCCCAACTGACTGAGCCACCCAGGCACCTCTTTTCTCCTTCTTTTTCTCCTTCTCCTTCTCCTTCTCCTTCTCCTTCTTCTTCTTCTTCTTCTTTCTCCTTCTTCTTTCTCCTTCGTCTCCTTCTCCTCCTACTCCTCCTCCTCCTCCTCCTTCTTCTTCTTCTTCTTCTTTCTTCCTTTCTTCAAAGCATTTGCTGCCAGGTTTTTGTTTGGTTGGCTGTGTGTATGCAGTGTATATAAGTTGAGTTGCACAGAAGCCCAAAAATCTGTCTTCAGTCTCTCTTGTACCCAGTTAATGCCCAGGGCCCAGGAAAAGGCTGGGCACAGAGGAGGTGCTTTATTGCATATCCGACAAATGAATGAATGCAGGGCAATGTATAGGTTTTCACTCAGTTGTGATCACCCACAGGAGATGGTAGTAGGCAAGAGAGGGTAGAAGTTCACCAATTGTAATAGTTCACTTCAAATGAAATCTGTCAATTGCACTTGCTAATTAAAAATAAATTTCCCTACCTCTCTGGATCTTTGCTCTTTCGAAACCAAAAAGTATCTCAGAGCAGGTTTTGAGATGACTGTTGCACCTGCTGTCTCCCACCAGCAACAGTTCACAAGTGTGATCCAACACAACAGCTCCTGACAATTTGTAGTTTAAAATCCAGCATAAGTCTTTCTGTTCCCCAAATCCAGGCTCTTTCCCAGCTGCCTCCTCTGAGGCTCTCAGTCTTCTTTCTGATCACTTACAGCCATCAGCTCTTATGAAACCAGAATACGAGAACTTCACAAGCCAAAGCATCATTTTAATGAGAGGCCTTAGAGTTTTCAACTCTGGATTGCTGCTCATGTTTCTGGGGTTTCTGGGGAATCTGTTCTTAAAGGTTTCCTCCAGCCCACTTCTGGCCCCAGTGGCAGCTCTGATTGGCCCACCCATGTCAAGGGCAAAGTCCTGCCTGCCAGAGAAGCCTCCCTGAAAAACTCATGCCCCAGCAGCTGCAGTCCTGAGAGCCCTCTGCCCCAGGATGCCTCCGTTGGCTCAGGGGAATCTCCCAGGGCAGATCAGGGGTGCAGGGAGGTGGGGCTTATGTTTGGGGGAAGCTGAGCCCTGGAGGCTCATTCTCAGGAGGATATTTGGTCCTGCAGGGAAGGAAAACCACCTCCCTTGAGCCTTCTCCTGTCTCAAAGTAGGAATTCAGTGAGGCAGAAATTAAGAAAACCCTCCATCTGGGGACATGGGCATGTGTTTGGAGAGAAGAGACATGAAGAAGTCACCCCCTTTACAGATGGTTAGTAGAGCACACAGATGAGTTAAATAGCAAACTGCAGATTTTCATTTTCACTAAAAAATTCAGTCTCCTGGGGATGCCTGGGTGGCTCAGTGGATTAAGCATCTGCCTTCGGCTCAGGTCATGATCCCAGGGTCCTGGGATCGAGTCCCACATTGGGCTCCTTGCTCAGCGGGGAACCTGCTTCTCCCTCTGCCTGCCACTCCCCCTGCTTGTGCTCTCTCTCTGACAAATAAATAAATAAAATCTTAAAAAAAAACAACTTAAGTCTCCTTCTTAATGCCAATTACCAAATCATAAGATCCTCAATTCCACTCCCAGAAGCTCTATTTTAGATGAACAAATCACATTCAACTAACATTTACTGAACATCTACTATGTATCACTTACTTTCCTATATACTCATTTGATCCCCATGACAACCTCTTTTAAAGGGGAATTCGTTTTCCCATTTTACAGATGAGAACACAAAGGTTTATAAATGTCCAAGTTACTGTGATTACACACAGCCAGGAGCACTGCAGAATGAAAATGACATCTTTGGCTTTGACCCTGACAGCAGAGAATCTCTCTTCAGTTTTAAGCCCACAGTGTTTATTCTTCATTTTTAATTGTGGTAAAATACATGTAACATCAAATTTACCATCTTACTCATTTGAAAAAATGAAACGCTTCATGAATTTTCATGTCATCTTTGCACCAGCGACATGCCAATCTTCCCTTATTCCAATTTTAGTCTACGCGCTGCCAAATCAAGCACCCATCTTCCATCTTACTCATTTTTACGTGTACGGTCCAGTAAGTAGTGTTAAATACATTCACCTCTTGGCAACCACCACCACCCCCCATCTCCAGCACTCCTTTCATCTTGCAAAACTAAAACTCTGCACCCATTAAACACTAACTCCACGTTGCCGCCTCTGCCTCCCCGAGTCCTCTGGCAACCACTTATTTTCTATTCTATTTCCTGTCTCTAAGAATTTGACTGCTCTAGGTGCCTCATATAATATGTGGAATCATACAGTATTTGTCTTTTTGTCACTGGCTTCTCTCAGCCTAATGTTCTCAAAGTTCATCCATGTTGTGGAATGTGTTAGGATTTGCTTCCCTTTTAGGGCTAAATAATATTCCACTGGACATGCATAATGCATTTTGTTGATCCATTCATCCATCAATAGATACTTGGGTTTCTTCCACCTTTTGCTTCTTGTGAATAATGCTATGAACATCAGTGTATGCATAACTCTTAGAGACCCTGATTTCAATTCTTTGGGGACATATACCAAGAAATGGAGTTGCTGGATCATATGCAAATTCAGACTGACAAAGCCAAGTGTTGGTGAGGATGTGGAAACTGGAATATTCATACATCGTTGGTGGGGATGGAAACCCGGTATGATCACTTTGGAAAACTGTGACAGTATATCCTAAGGCTAAGTATTCTAAATATACTTATAAACTTATAATCCAACAACCTTATTCCTAGGTATATATAACCAGCAGAAAAGTGTACATATGTGTCCCAAAACCTATGTTCAACGATGTTCAGACCAGCCCATTTTGTAACAGTTCCAAACTAACAATTATCCATCTACAGTAGGATGGTTAAACAGAATGTGGGTATCCATACAAAGAAATGCTCCAGGGCAATGGTTCTCAGCTATTTGTGTGTGTTAGACTCACCTGGAGGGCTTGTTAAACTACTGATTGCTGGCCTCCAGCTGTCTCTCCCCTGCCACCACACAGAATAGATCTCACATTTCTCCCCCTTAGCTGCTCTTACTATTGTTGAAGATCGCTGCCGCCACCCCCTGCGTATTCTCTCCTCCCCCACATCAGCAAGAGTGGGGACTGAAGAAGCATAAGAGGCCTGGTTTCTGACCATTAGTACAAACTCAAAAATCTCTCTTCTGTCAGGTCAGCCCTGCACCCCTGGATTTGTTGATATGCTTATGAACGTTACCTCCCATAACTCTGACAACATAATTAGCGCACAATTATGGCGCCCATCTTTATTGTTGTTTTGTAGAGAAGGAATTGACCGTTAGCAAGGTCCTGCTGCTAGACAAAAGTAGAGAGGAGATTCAAACCCACATCTTCCGACTCTGGGTCTAACGTTCCCTCCTTCACAGCCGGCCATGTCCCCACAATGCAAGGCACGCCCCTCCCTCTTCCCCATCTATCCAGGTGCTACCAAGTTCCACCTCTAAGGTGAGGCCCCCTTTCTCCAGGAAGCAAATACTAAAACCCAAAGCAAGATGGCCTTGCCTGATGTGAATATAGTATTGTTTAGCTACCTAATGTGCTCTGGGCATTAGAAGCTCAGCCCTGAAAGAGCTCCTTTAGGCAGTGTCTGCCGTTTCTGTGGCTAATTGGCTGTCTAGGGAGGTGGATGCAGCTGTAGTGAAATGCTGATCTTTCCACCCTAATCACTAGGAGTGAGCTGGGATACTGTTTCCTCTGTGCATCAGCATTTCTGAAACAGCTGCTTATGACTTTGGCAGAGCAAAGTGGGAAGTGGCGACTCCCTGAGAGTAGCCTGTGGCCTAAAGAGATTCAGCACCAAGGGCAGCACCTCCAGCCCCACTGGAGGAGTAAAACGCCATAAAAGCTGAGGCTCTCAGTCCTGGCTGCAAGTTGGAATCATCTAGAGAGATGAAAACAAAATTCCAATGTCTGGGCTCCACCC